GTTTGACTGAAAGTAGCAACGTTTGAGAATCAACCCTTGTTTCTGTGTTCTGTGATATGATTTTAGCACTGTAATGTTTTAATTATACAGTGCGGAGGTGAATAATTCCCCTCTTATTAACTTTCAAACGGGGCAAGATATCAGAATCGGACATTTTCGTGAAAAGAAATAATGTTCAGTACTTTTTGACAACACTATTGTGAAGAATATGGAGAAATCTTAACAAATTTCAGCATCTTTTCTCAAGAAAAACGTCGTAACTAAGAAGTGACAATCTTGGCCGCTATTTTATATTCATGGCTCATTTTACGAGAAAAGCGGCTATTTTAGAAATGTTTACCTAGTGAGAGAAGGGCGGCATGGGTTTCTTAGGGTAAACTTGAACATTAATGGGTTTTAAATATAGAAGTGTAAACTGCGTTCTATACACAACATAAATTCTTGTTCCAAACTGTTATTGAAATGCATTCCTGTGTATTGCATAATTCAAAAGGAATCCCAATCAGAGTGATTGTTTTGCAAGTGCATATAGTTTTCACGGAGATAGGTATTGGGTTTTAAAAATAAGTTATTGAAAAAATAACCTAACGTGGGATGTATAAAGTGAAATAAAAAGTTGAAAACAAGTGAAAAGGTTGATGAGTGAAAGTTAATAAGTAGTAATAGTATTACTACGTGGACCTAACACATAGATGGCGCTTTTTCAGATAGTACTAACCTTTTTGAAGAACAGGGTACTAAATAGAGAATTTCAAACTAATTGTGTTTTATCTAAATAAACATAAATATAGTGTTGTAGTTTGTCTAGAACTTCAAACTCTTTCAAATAGATGATGAAGGCTAGAGAAACAACAGTGTAGAGCAATAGTAAAAATATATTTATAACGTTAAACATTAAATAAATGAATTTAATAAAATAATGCTCCAAGTTACAGCACCAATCTCCTATTTCCACTTCTGACCATTTCATCAATCACTTCGTCACTGTTGATTGGAGCTGGATAATGAATTGACAGTAGAGCAAGCCCATTTAAGCGTTCATTACTCATATAATTTCTATGATAGCTTTTAATTCTCTTGAGAGAAGTACAGTGAAAACTTGATTTCTTAACGTTGAACAAACATGAAAAGGACACTAATCTCGTCACTACAGAGTATGAATTAGCTAACGATGCGACAGAAGTCACTACATCAACTACACATAAGTAATGAGTGATTTTTTTGCTGATATCTTTTTGGCAACACTGTTTTTGACAGATTACGCGTGAATCGTGTCCTGCGTCATTGTCAAACTTGTTTAGTTTGGTCTATAAATTAACCATGAATCGACTTACGAATGAACAACGCTTGCAAATTATTGAATTTCATTATCAAAATTCATGCTTGGTGAAGAAAGTGCATCGTGCACTTCTTCCAATTTATGGGGCAGTTTAGGCGGCCAATTNTTGAACTATTTTTTTCCGATGAAAGTTACATTGAAAGAGTTTGAAAATTGCGGAATACATGTATACAGTTATATTTTTAGTCCAGACAAAATAGATGGAAAAAGGGCTGGGTTTGCAAAAATTCCCTACAAGCTAATTTTTTTACAGACCATAAATACTTCATTATAAATTAAATCTCAAATGTCCCTATCAATCCCACTTGTGCGTTGTTTTTTATTCAAGGTCAAAGGTCATACTTTTTTGTCTTTGCGAATACCTCTTGAATAGTGACAGCTACTTGAAAATGATTCAGAAAAAGTATATGAATCGTGAAATTATCTTCAGGAATGGTATTGATACTTTTTCCTTCAGGAGGCACCGTTTTCGAGTTATCGCACTTTTTGACCATAGAAGAGACGTATTTCCAATAGGCATTATGACAGATTTTGAAATACTCTCACAAGGTACATCAAATTTCCGCAGAAAATTAAATTTCAGTACAAAATGAGTACACTTCAATTTGTAAGTTTAAGGTTCGCACCTAAACATTTCAAAGTGTGTTGGCATCGCTTGTGACGTCACGGGAGCTCTTCCATAATGAAAAAAGGTCTCTAACCAAGTTACACCATCGTCCCCGGGTGCTGACTGGACTATTCCTCCAATATGACTATTTAAAGGCGTTCGAGCGATTTCATATACCGTCGCTTCCCCCTTCCCGCTTTAGCGGGAATTGATCGTTTTCCGCTTGATTACAGGTTCCATAAGTTGCGTATTTCTACACTAGCTTGACTAAATGCGTCGTTGGACAACATATATGCAGCTTCTTCGAACTTTCTCTCAAACCAGTGTTCCTCCCTGTGGATGATTTCAGCTTAAGCCCACTCGATGTTGTGTTGATGGGTCCAAACATGGTCTGCTATTCCTGATTTGCTGGTTTTCCCTCGATGTGTATGTCTCTTGTGCTCGGCAATGCGAACATTCAATGGCCTCTTAGTTTCACCAATATAGGATTTTCCGCACTCACAGGGTATCCGGTAAATGCAATTTTTGGAATCGCAGTCCGCGTTTGGTGGCCTGGTTTTCTTGAGGCTGCTACTGATGGTGTTCTGGATCTGAAGCAGGTTCACAACGCACAAGTGGAATCAACGGGGACTTTTGGGTTATCATTTATAATTACGTATTCAAGGTCTGTGCAGAAATTCAGCTTGTTGGAAATTAATGCAAATCGAAATGTCTATTTTGTCTGGACTAACTGTAGATATTTGTTTTCTGGAAAAGAGTCAATATTATATGCGCTATAACGAAGCAAATTAACCCCATTCAGTGGATCTTCCCAAAGGAAACTATAATTTCCTGACAGAATCAACGATGTGGAAATGAGATGGGAATTTTTCTTTGTTATATTTTCCATACATGGTGGCTCAAACAATAGCACCACTTGAATAGCCTGAAATTTTAATAAAAACATACATTCGTCTCGATTCATTGTTTTTTTGCAGCTACATATAGAAAAATGTAGCTCTGAAATAATGGCTGGCCAGCTCATTCATGTCAGGTTCGGAAACAAGCGGAACCAAGTGTTTTTCATGAAGATTTCCTCCCTGAATATTATTTCATCACTTCCTCGATTTCCGGATCTGAACTGGCTAGATTTTCATCATTTTCAAATGAGAAAATTTCCATTCATTCATCTTTACAAATCAATGAGACATCCTACATGATCATTCTGTCATCTGAGCTCAAATTGTATTTGGTGCATTCAAAAATACCTAACAAGACCATAAAATAAACAGTGCCCGTATAATCTAATTACTGCTGGAATAACCCACTTGACTCCTCATCTCGAGTCAGCTAGGTTAAGTGGCTTTAAAGAGAGGTTAATTGCTTTTGAAATGTAATTCATTGTAATTATATTTATTACATCCTCTCTCGACTGGAAATGAGACTGGGTTACGTTTGTTGAAAATGAAGAAAATTGAACGTTTGTTTGGTGCATTTCATCAGTTCGGACTTCCATTGTCTAATATGATATAAATTGATTTGAAATCTCAAAAGAATCTGTAAAAAAAACCAATACCTTCATAATATGGAACCATGGGAATGCAGAACTAGACACTTTCCTGAAGCATATCAGCAACGTAAGTTCTTCCATCACTTTCACAATGGAGAAGAAAGTCCACAACGCATTGCCTTTCTTAGACGTATTGGTGAAGAGGACAGACACTGAATGGGAAACATCTGTATATCGAAAACCTACTCACACGAGGCAGTATCTGAACCAGGAATCCAACCACCATCAATCGACTAAGAGAGGAATCATCAAGACTCTACTAGACCGTGCTTTAGGGCTCTGCAATACAAAGGAAGGTCTCGAAAAGCATGGACTTAGTCCTCCGAGATCTGACTATTTATAGATCATTCGAGTGCTTTCACTTATCCCCTCTTCCCTCTCCCCGCTTCATTGGTTCTAGCGGGAGATGACCGTTTGGCGGGAGTTGGTAGTTTTTCGCTTAATTAGAGGTTTCAATATGTTACGTATATCTATGCTAGCTTGACTAAATGCGTTGTTGGACAACATATAAGCGGCTTCTTTGAATTTCCTCCTGAACCAGAGTTCCTCTTTGTGGATGATTTCATCTTGAGCCCACTTGATGTTATGTTGATGAGTCCAAACATGCTCTGCTATTCCGGATTTGCTGGTTTTTTCTCGCTGTGTGTGTTTCTTGTGCTCGGCAATGCGAACTTTTAATGGCCTCTTAGTTTCACCGATGTATGATTATCCGCACTCGAAAGATATCCGGTGAATGCAATTCTTGGAATCGCAGTTCGCCTTTGGTGGCCTGGTTTTTGTGAAACTGCTACGGATAGTGTTCCCAGATCTGAAGCAGTTTCTGATGTTATACTTGGACCCAATCCTTCTTATCCTTTCCGATAATCTTCTGATGTAGGAAAGTACAAGTACTGGTTGTGGAGGCTTCTCTTCCTTGTGGAGCTCTTGCTGTCTTCTGGCTAAAGCCTGTTCTACCATCACTCTGGGATAACCATTCCGTTGAAGGTCGTTTTTGATGATGCCTAGTTCCTTTTCGAGACCTTCCTTCGTATTACAGAACCCGAAGGCACGGTCTAGTAGAGTCTTGATGATTCCTCTTTTAGTGGATTGATGGTGGTTGGATTCCTAGTTCAGATACTGTCCTGTGTGAGTGGGTTTTCGATATACAGATAATTCCCATTTAGTGTTTGAAGTTTTTTTTTTTATCAAAATTTTACTTCAGTCTCCTCTAAATTTATAATTATTGCCGAATATTCTACGATTAATTACACTGAATGGAAGATTAGCGAGGTTGATTGGAAGAACATTCCAGTGGAGGTCTTTTCTCCAATTGAAATGAATTCCACCCTTTTCTCCTATTTATTAGTTGATGGACACAAATATGAAGAGTATTCAGCCAAACAATTATATGGATCAACATTTTATGGAACTTGGAAATCAGATCACATTATCCGCTTTACATTTTAATCCAACCCCACAACCCTCAAAGTATATTATTCGACTATAAAGCGCTTATTTTCTTCAAATTATGAAAAAACATTACTTTACTATCATCACCACTGCGATTAATTTACATAATAAAAAACGTACACAACAAAAGAAACTGTTAAACATTCCACGGTGTTCCCCAGGAACCAATCACAGGTCCGCATCTACAAAATCATACCCCGAGCCGAAACGAAACTTTTCCGCTCGCTTCCCGATCTCTGGAGACTTGCAAAAGTTGCCGATGAACCTTCAACAGATTATCCGCCGCCAAAATTAGAAACCGCTGCAGCTCGTTGTTAATTCTGATGAAGTCCTCCAAGTATTTTGCCTTCGAAAATTCCCTGTTCAACTTCATGAGGTTCGATCCGAAGATTCCGTTGACCAGCGTTGCTTCCTGGATAGCTGTCTTCGTGAGCTGGAACTTTTCATCCAGTGAGAGCTGAAGTGTTGGTTTTTCCTCGGAAGAGGAAGCCTTTTCCAACTTCTCGACTCTCTTTATCCTTAAAAACTGTATAGGAGGTTTCGCTAAACCTTCTCCACCTGGTTCGCTACCACCCCCTGGGGCTCTCTGCTTGAGGCGGATCACTGGCAGAGCCTTGCCATTTTTGAGTACGTTTACCAGCATTTTCGAGTCCTTCAGGATCAAAAACGGAAGAGGAGGGACATTCTTCTCGTTGGGTATTGCCACGGCTTCCCCTTGAGTTGGTTGCTTTTGGAGAGGAACGTTTTGCTTCACCAGGAACCGGTTGGGGAGTAAAGAAGTGGGCAATGTGAGAGGTGGGACTCGGGAGATGGATACAATGGAAGCGTCTACAGGTTTTTGAGGAAGGACGGGGTTTTTGCTTGCCACATCGAGGTTCAGCAACCTTGGTGGATTCTTGGAGGTTTCCTGAGCTGGAAAGATAGTTAAAGATAGTTAAAGTTAGAAAGTTGAATATGTAAAAGAAACGGATAATTTTGAGACAATTCATGAGAAAGATCTAAATTCTTCTTGGAAGATTGCTCGTGTGTATATATAGAAGACTAAAGATAGTTATCTACCGAAATATATGACAGTTAGTTTTTAGCTTGCTGATACTCACCTGGTGGTAGACAATAAGAGTGATCATGTATCACCATGTCCTGTCCTAAAACACCAGGACGATTCTGTTTAGCAGGGTTTTTGACTTCGGGATCTTCTTTCTGTAGTTTACGAGTTTTTTTAATCTCATCTTCTTGTTCTTCTTCTGCGTCGGTGGTTTTTGAGACGTGAGGAACATAATCAGGGTCTTTAACGCGCAACCTTTTCCTGGTTGCTCTGGAGGGTGAGCAGCAAAACGTATGGTCCTTTTCCATAGCCGGCTTCAAGTTTTCGACGGAAGCGAGTCGTCTGGAAACAATAAACAGAAAAAACTATTGATGCCTTTGAAATATAAAATCAATCAAATGTCCACCACTGCTTCTTTGGGAAGAGCGCATCCGAAACGTCCAACTTTCCATGACTCTGTCGCATAAACCAGGCTGAAATCGACTGATGGCATGGGTTATGTTGGGTATGAGGACCTCTGTGATTTATGGCTTATTCGCATACACCCGCGACTAAAGAATTCTCATCATCTCTACATGAGATGACCATGCCCTCAAATCTGAGGTGCAAATTATCCAATGTGGCGTGACTGTTGTGGCACGTAGCGCCGTTCTGTTGAAACCACATGTCATTGGAGTCCAGATCATCCAATTCAGGCCAAAAGAAGTTGGTAATAATCGACCTATCATGCTCGCCGTTAACACCGATGGTCTGGCCAACGTCGTTCTCAAAAGATATGAATCGATGATGCCACCAGCCTAAAATCCATACCAACCAGTGACTTTTTCGAGATGCATTGGACGCTCTTGGATCTCATGTAGATTGGAAGACCCCATATAATTTACTAATAACAACATTGATAAAACCGAAATACGTTATCATTAATCAATATTCTCCAGGTAATGAAGTACCTGATTGAAACACCATTAGATCCGACTACCACTAGCCAATACGTTGACTTTCAAAGTTTCTCCGATTGGTATAGAGTCTAGAAAACTATGAAACTTGTCGAAGATTTTGTATATTAGATTAGGGCTCCAACTTTATATTTTCCTTCTGTTTGAGTCCTTGAGTCTGATCGAAATAAGTTCAAATAAACGATTAATAATATATTAAATTGCTCCCAAACTTTCTGTAGAGTTTACTCACAAAATCTCTTTCCTGACGTAGTCGGCGAACTCCAAACAATGCACCCTCAAAGCCCTTATCTGACTTGGTTCACAAACGAAGCATTTCCATTCATCCTTATCTCTTATTTCGGCGTACTTCTCAATGCAGAAGTTCATACGAATGCAAAGCTGAAATAAAAAGAGTCGAGATAATCAAAATAACATTTTCGAAAACACAAAAGGGGTGAAACTCCATTCGCCGTTCTCTTGGTTGTGGTTCAAAATGAGTCTATAGAACTCTACATACTTCAAAATAACAATAAAAATCACGCTTAAAACAACAGAAATAAATTTCGATGTAACACAAAGACCCGTTCTTGACCCGCTTAATGCAAGACTTCACAGAAGGGAATATGCCAGGACGGCAACATGAGGTAAAGTTTCGTTTCTTTTCCTACAGTTTTTTGATGGGGCGCGAACTGACTGGTGATTTCTAGTTCGTAGGTTGTAGTTATGTTGACTCAGGTAGTCCGCATATCTTGTTGATGCGTTACTAAGTGTTATTGCCTGTTAATGACGTAACATTGCAGTGCGATGTTACGTCATTAACAGGTAATACACTTCGGCCAATAGCAACGCATCAACAGGAGAGGCGGACTACCTGAGTCAACATAAATACAACCTACGAACTACAAATCACCAGTCACCGGTAAATCATCAAGATGAATACACCTCTGAAGAAGCCAGCCACTGGCGAAACGTTAGAATTCAGTTCCAAACTACGACGGCCTTCAAACCCGAATGAAGATAGTAACCTTGGCCGCAAAAGTCCCTGTATTGTAATTGCAACTTTTACGTCGTAGTGTTGTAGATCATGCCCGAAAGAAAGTAACACCGGCCGCCACTGGTAACCATAAACCAATCATGACGTAGCTAAGAGCGCGGGAATGCCCAATGTTCCCTGCCGCTCGAGAAGCAGCGAGAAATATGCTACCGATGTCGATGGAACTTCGGCGAAAGTTCTACGATGTTCGATTGCGATATTTAAACGCTGAATGCAAGCGTATTCACACAGTCAAGTACACACTCAAGTGGACGTTACAGTGCGGTACGCGAAGTGATCTAGTAAGGCGATAGACATTCAAATAATAGTTGAAGTGTTTGTTGTATTCAAAGTGAAATAAAGTTAAGTTTGGTTATTCACTGTAGTCAATAATTGGTCAACCCACGTGGAAAAACGTAACAGTAGTATAATTTATTGGACAAATCGAATAGTACAGTTTGATAACGCATATTAGATAACACATATCGATTCTCCTCGAAATTCTCCATATTTCTATAGCAACAATCCAGACGACTGGAGAAAAGACGCGTGAATATCTCGCCATGTTTTCGTAGAGCACCAAAATCTATGGTCAAGCATGCGCCGTGAGGAGGAAAGGTTACTCTCTTCAAGCGTAACCTTTACGCTCTTCAAGCGAAGACGGCTTGGCATGTGTTTGGCCCGTCCTGTTCCCGCTCTGGCATGTGTCAGTCCGCTGCCTGCTTTAGTGCACGCCCCCCATAGGAACCAATGGAAAGAAAAACGAAACTATACGTCATGTTCCCGTCCTGTGCTATCCCGTCGCAGTGTGCACCTAGCATAACTACGCCATTTATACGAAATGTCATTGTGAATTCGCTCACCTTGCAAAACACCATGGGGCAGCTGCTGCAGCAGATCACTTTACCTCCTTGTCCACACCATCTACAGAACAACTCGCTTCCGTCTTCATCCTTTTCGAAACAACCGCTCGAATAGTAATCGAAACACTCGTTACAAACGATGACTTTCAGCAGGGGATGAACGAAAACCTTGTCCATGTTCTTGATCGCACTTCCAAGGTGGGCGTTGCAAGCTGTGCAGTGGATCTTAGTATTCTGCACGGGATTCTCTGGATAAATTTGGTACATTATTGGTAATTATTGTTAAGTATGGCTACTCAACAAATATTTTGTGGCGCTTTTCCACTATATTCCTCTATCGCTTAAATCTGCTATATCGTGTAATTATTTAACGTAATTTATTGAACTGAACCTCTAAGATGAGTTTTGTTGTAAAAATATTTTCTGCCTTTACAAAAATATACAATTGTTTTCCTACTGAGATTCTTTGAATACTTCGATCTTAATTCGTAGGCAGGTTTATATTCAGAATGAAAAATGCTCTTACCAGCAGTATAAAGTGCCTTCTTCAGACGATGGTCTTCATCTGATAATTTGAAAGTTGCTGAAATAAAACAATGCTCAGAAAATCATATTGCGAAGTTCAACTGTGAATAGATTTTTTTTAGGTGGCTAAGCTACCAAAACAAAGTTTTACAACTAGAAAATGTTTCTTTCCGTCAGCAATAACACTGACAGTCATGAAATTAACATCTAACATAAAATTTCGAGATCTTGTGGCATTACTCTGGAATAAAAATTCATCTTGAAAATGATTTTTTCTTTGACATCATCTACAAGTTTCTCTAATGAAAAAACACTCACCCTTGCATCCAGTTATATTAAAATCGTACGGTGATGAAGTTTGATCAGACTCGCCTGGCAAATTGCTCTCTAAAATCATTCGAATAGAAATGAAAATTATTACTTTTTCTAAGCTCATTGAGGAATAAGAGAAATTTCAACGAATATTGATTGGTTCTTACCATTCCTGGTCGTGATTGGGTCGTTTTCCACTTCCATAATGACATCCGGAAATAATAAAGAAGTATCAATGTCTTCCATTTTCTTGTCACCTGAAATTAGTCATTTTAGATCTGATAACTTTCGGTCGCGAAGTTGACAGAAAAGTTTTGTTGGTACAGATTTCGAATTGATTTGGCGATACCTCCTAATTTGACACCCGCGATACGCGACCCGACAGAATTTCGATAGATGCCTATAATTATGAGAAGTCAGCCTTGCTTCGATTTCCTTTGCTGCCTTATTTTTCCCAATTTACAAAAAAAAATCAGTTAATGAATATGTTGGAACTTTTGGGGTACCCTGTATATTCAGGCAAACTGGCAACATCGCCGCATTTTCTCGCTAAGAGGCCTCGGCATATATCAAATGATATATTCAATTGTGAACAAATTGATTTCTCCTTAAAATATGCCTTTTTCAATTCACTATATTTCAAAAAAACTCGAATAATTTCAAGGAAGAATGTAAATTTTTCCACCATTTTTGAGGTTTTTCAATTCTCTAGTTAAGGCTGTTTAGAAGGTTTCCCAAAAATTTTATCGAAATCACTTTTCTTTTTAAAACCACCAAAAACTTGTAACTGCCGCTTCAGTAAAAATCGTCCTCCACCCTAAATAAAAACTCATTCTAGTCCATCCCAATATCTCGAGTTTTTCTGTCCATTTGACATCTGACTGAGAACCAAATAAGTTTCTCCCGTGTTTCAGCTGTAGCTAATATATGGTAAAAACAACAGTAATACAATCAAGAATAATCTTAAAAAGGTAAAACAAATCTTCATATTTATAGACATTTCTAAAAATCACAAACCTTCAAGTGCCATGCAATATATCCAAATTTCTGTCAAATTTCTTGTTTCACCTTAATCTTGCATCAAAGAATTGTAAAGTACTTTTTCACTTAAGATCAGCTGGACACAATACCTTTCAATGTCAAGAAAATACAGTCAAATTTCCTGATTTAACTGCATCACTTTGAAAAGTCAGTTTCATTTAATCCGCCACTTCAGTTTTACGAAACATTCACATAACCTGACAATGTTGCCACACAGCACAGACGCATGCACAGAATGATGTTCTAGAATTCGTTCGTTTGTTTGAAAGTGTGTTTCCATTTCTGAAAGTCATTAAATTCTCTACGTCCAATAATTTAAATTAATTTTGTCGAGCCAATATTATAACCTAGATTGCCGTCTTTTTCCTCAAGAGACATTTCATAAAGGCCCCTTTGAAACGCAACTAACAATGCGCATGAGAAAGCGGGAAAATTTACCGTTGGCTTGCGCTGTAGCCATATCATTGTTACCAACCACAAGGTGCACTATTATGAAGATGCTCTGTCTTTATTGCAATATCTGCCTAGTGCGCACAATAAAATTTATGGAATGTGCGCGCGATCAAAAATGTATCATTCTTTGTGTATGAGTTTTCTGAAATTCACAAAATTATTTGTATCCAACGTTTTAAATTATAATTTCATCGGCTCTCTTAATAATACGTTACTGTGAACTTATGACACTGTAAATACGTAAATCGTGACAATTTTTGCTATGTTATATCGCTATTGATTAGTGAAATATCGCTTTTTATGTTTTCTGATCAAGAACAGTTTATTAATTTCGTTATTCAATAAAGGTATGAAACTAGAACATATAATTAGATAAGCTGAGAGGTACGTAGGCTAACACAGAGATGGCGCCACTAGAATTAAATCCATATGATTTTTAGTTAACCCTAACCTTCAAAAGACAAATTTCTCCATCAGTAGCGACTATAACATAGCGTTATTGAAGAGTGTGAAGGACGAAATCACGGAAAACGCATTTGATATCAGGAATTCAGGCATGGGGTGCGGAAGTTGAACATTTGTAAAAGGGGGGCACACGGTAAAGGTGTAGCAAAGAAGGCAGTGAAGTGAGACAACTCCTATACCACCAACACTCGTTTTTCACCCAATCAAGTAATGATAAACAACCCTCTTCGGTTTCCCGGACAATTTGCGTGTCCCTTTGAACCCCGAACGACGTCGGAAATTCCAAATTCCATCCCCTAATCTGTAGAACTGCACCCCGATGTGGTAGCGCACGCTTCTGAATCAAGTTGACGTGCACCAAGTCAGCCTCACGTGGTGCGATCGATGCCGCTGCTTTCCCCGGCTGCTTCTGTCAGTGCCTCTCGGTGTTGTCTGTGGTTATGGCGGAAGGGATTCCTGGTCTGGAAGAATCGGGGAGTGCGGTAAATCAATGCACGTGGTTCAATTCCGGTGTGGGTGGTCTGTGATTCGAGTTGGGGAAATTTAGGCCGATGTGCTTATGTACGAAGAGACTCAGAGGTCGGAATTTGGCAGTTCAATAACATGGTGAACATAGTACATGGTGATTGATCTCAATCGTGAAATAATAAATATGATAACAATAATAATAATAATGATAATACGTATTTGAAAATGTTGTTTTTGTAAGATATACCAAAATAGTTCTAAATATTTACGTTCGTAATGAGATGATCATGGAAATAACTTATAAATTATGTATATTTGATCGTTTGTTATGAAAAACCCCAATTGAAATTCACAAATATGTCTTATATTGGATCGCTTTTTTCAAGCTGATAAAAATAAGTAATTTTTTTGATCAAAGAGAATCTATATTCCTGCTGATGAAGTGAAAATATTGAAATATAATGTGTTACGAATCACATGTCAGAAGGTAAGACCTCGTTAGTCCTTAGCTCGCACAAGGTTCGACTACTGAGGGTTGTCGTTCGTAGGGGTGCGACAGCTGGATTCATATATTCTTAATATTCATATTTCCGTATAATAATAAAAGTAGAAAAACAATTTCTATTTTGCAGTCCCTCTCAGAAATAATATACTTATGCTAGCGTTTTATCTAGAAATCTATAATTCCTAATTTTTCCCACTTTTCAACACATCTTTTGGGTACATTCACGTTAAATGTTGAAAGACTCATACTTCAACTTTGGGAATGACCTCACTGATTCTTCAAGGACTCATTCGGATGGTGCAAAATATATTTCGATATTTGTGAGAAAATATTCCTGGACAATGTTCGGTGAAGTGCTTCAGTGGAATAGCCAGCTACATCACCTGAATTAACACCATTGCCTAAAGTGCCACTCCTGCAAAACCCAAGGGGTTGAGACAGAGTATTGTTAGTTGTAAACTGCCCTCTGAGAAGGGTTAGGTTAGGACGGCTCTGTCGAACTCCAAAAAACCTGATTCGGTCCTCAGCGGGGCAGGCACAAATATATGCTCTGCTGTTCCATAATTTTCCAAACAGAGACGACACCCAATGTCTTTCGACAGTCCGAGTCTCTACATATGATGATTCAAATGACAGTGACCTGTAAGAAGGCCTGTTAGACATCGTAGTTCATCCCTACTGTAGTCCAACTGTTTGGTATCAAGCTTTGGAGTGAGCCAATCCTGAAAGATTGTTCCAGAAGTCCATAAATCTTCTTCTTGCCTGATAAGGAAAGTTTCATAAAATTGACAGAATCGTGGATCGGTAAATTTGTGTCTATTGTTGTTGTCTGGTGATAATTTCCCTCTAAACAAGAAACGCAACTATACGTTGGGTTTTTCTCGAATAAAACGTTCAAAATCGAGTTTCTCTCCGGCTCATAAATAGTCCTGTACTACTACTTCCCGATGACCTTGACATAGGAGCTAGTCATTCATAATCGATATTTATCTCAAACTGGAATAAGGATGAACTGAATACCATTGACCAACAACATTCCAGCAATGCAATTAAGGCAAACAGAATCATCTGGATGAATTCAATTTGTTGAAATTTTAGATGCAAATTGAGCGATCAAACGTATGGAATAATCAACAATATCGCTGGTTACATTACGCAGCAGGCGTGTCGTGTTTATAGCATCGAAAATAGCGGTGATGTAATGAATTGGCATTGACCTGACGCCTTGCAATATTCAACATTTAATATTTTTCACAGAATTATCGCATGTGGATTAGAAAGGGCCTGGAATGTGGTTGTTTGGTATAATAATAATCTCAGATCCTCGAGAAGTCATTGCGGTAAACTTATCGTCGATGGTAGTGCAGATTCTACTGATATCGCTGCTCACATAACCCTAAAAATCAGTATAATGAACAGGTGAAAATGATAAAAAAGTAGCCTATTGTACCAATTCGGAAATAAAGTCAAATTTTATGGGGTCGCTTTCCTATCAGTAATATCAAAAATCATGGAGAAAGCCGTAGTCCATACAAGTGAAGGGGCTTACTGTGGTGTGGTGTTAGCGATGATCCCTCCTTGATGGACTACCCAAAATCCATAAGAAGGACGTTCCGCTCAACTTTACTGTAAAAATGGTTTATTCCATTCCTGAACGAGTTGAAATTGTTAAACTTTATTATCAACATAATAGTTGTGCTAGACTTACTGCTCGCCTTTTTAATAACAGTCATCCCGGGAAAAATGTGAATGATTCGTACGTTGCCAAGTTAGTCCAAAAGTTTGTCGATACCGGATCTGTCTTTAATGTGAACCACCAGCCACGGAAACCGATCAGAAATGAAGCAGTGGAAGTCGCTGTTTTGGGACATGTTGAATTGGATCATACTCAAAGTACCCGTCAGCTTGCTGCAGCCTCAGGTGTCTCCCGTTCGTCCATAATACGGATATTAAATGCCTATAAATTTCATCCGTACAAAATTAAATTAGTACAGGAACTCAATGGAGATGATCCTGATAGAAGGCTGCAATTTTGTGAACAACTGAGCCAGCTACTAATTGATGATCCGCACCTATCATTCAACACGTGCTTTTCCGATGAGAGTACATTTTTTTTAATGGAGCTGTGAATAGGCATAATTGCCGTTACAGTAACCCACACTTATTCCGAGAGGTCCATACCCAGTACCCTCAAAAAATCAATGTCTGGTGTGGCATATTAGGTAGTCATATCGTAGGGCCACTTTTTATTCCTGGAAATTCAACTGGTGAGGTCTACCTGAACATGCTTGAAGATACAGTTGATCCTCTCATAACGGAAATAATTGAAAATGACCAAAATCATAATGATAATCGGCTTCATTTCCAGCATTTGTATTTTATTTCACTAATATTTCATTTCAGGTTTTTTGCTTAATATAATTGTTTTTTCAGCTATTCTTTTTTATTCTTCTTCTTTAGTTATTTCAGGGATTTCAAATCATTTTATATAATATCAGACAATGGAAGTCCGAACCAATGAAATTCATCATGAAACATTGTCAATCACCTTCAAACAAACTTCAAAAATATGTTTCAAATGCTAAAATATTTTGCGTATCATTCAACAGAAGTGGTTTGTCACTTTGTACTCTCACAATAATCTTCTAGACATTGAGACCCACTGTATACAAATGTTCCGTTGGAACGAAACACAATATTTCAGTCTATGCTTCATTATTTACAGTACAAACTGTACTCTGTATAACACACAAGTTATCCAATAATACATTTTTCAAGCTTGACTTGAAGCTGGAAAGAAGCCAAAATGAACTGATGAGATTCCCTTCAGCAATGCTGGATATGACGTTTGGGAATTTGGAATATGTCTGGTAGTTATCGAACATATGATAAATTAAATGAATATCCCGGCTTGGCAGTGATTTATTCTAATAAGCTGATATGGCAACTACGTGTTTTTGAGAAACTCTGTGCCTAACATGAATATGTATGTTAGACAGTGAGGAATTGAAGTGACTTTCAAGTACGGTTCGTTACCGACAGTTTATTCAACTCCTTCTCAACTTTAGTACGGATTTTCATTTGTATTAACATCTATTTTCATAGATACCTTGATCGTGACATGAACTACTGTTGACGTGAGTACTGCTGGCTTATAGAAATCAGAATAAACAGCAGGCCACGTATACCCAACAAACTCTGATTCAGTCTAGGAATATGGCCAACGGCTTCAGGAGCCTAGGCCATAATCACTGCTTGTGACAGTTGTGACAGGTGACACTCTGAAACAGGTCTGATCGTGACAACGAGTAGATGAGAAGATCACTGTCATCTGTCAAGCTATCAGTTATCAGTTAGTTCAGAATATACTTTTTTTAAACTGTCTTGCAATAATTGTGTAGGTATGTGACTGATCAAGATTTCAAAAACTACAACGAAATTCCATACGGTTTTAACCAATAGTCGGAATGATTCAAGAGGAAAGGTCATGTGTAATTTTTGTGTAAATTGGCGGATCGCTAGTTTTCGCTATAACTAATCTCTAATGTGCACGAACAGAAATCAAATATTACTACTCGTAGACATCGCTCTTGTAAGAATTGAGCAGGATAAGTTAAAAATCTTTTTTTTCGTTAACCAGCTGTCACACCCCTACGAACGACAACATAGCTTGTGCGAGCCAAGGACTAACGAGGCCTTACCTTTCAATGTGTGATTCCTAGTCAAATACATTCCCTATCAGTTTCAATCAAGACTCGGAACAAATAATTCTGCTGTGTTCATTCATTTCTTTTATAAAATGGAAGTCTTAACGAAAATTTATCACGTTTCATTATTTGAGGTTATGTCGTTGTAACGCGATCTCAGAGACACCTGGGACACCCTGTAAACGAGTCTCCTCCAACGCCAACTTGTTATTTCCCGCGATGACTCTCGACTTTTCCATGTTTTCGACCTAATTTTAGCTGAACGCTCACAGAAAGCGACGCGAGCATTCAGCGACTCGACGCTCTGGTACAGAATTCAGTATTCGACGTATCGGCGGAATTGTTGGTCGTGATTGCAGTGATACGCGGCTGGTACCGCCGTAGTACCGCGGTGTCTTAGTCTTAGTCAATCGAGTGACCTTCCAGGTTCACTCGGTCAGTGTGATAAGAATAATCGGCAGTGCGGATAAGAAATTTGGGAAACTGCGCTTGTGGAGCTAGTGCTAGCATCAGTTTTATTTTTATTGGTGTCGCGACTAAGTTCTTGTTCGTTTTGGGAGTTCGATCGTAGCAGGAGGTAGTTGATCTTAATAAGGTTAACCTGTTTGAATCAATTCAAATTCCCTTGCCAGTTTTTTGAAAACAATATTACTAAATAGGCTCATTTCACGGCATTGAAAACAGCACTACGGTATTCACCATGATGCTAGGTTTTCCTTTTATATTTCGGGATTAGAGAATAAAAATAAATATCAATCATCGAAAATCACTTTATTGTTTTTCAAAATATTCCCCGTGAAGATCTATACACTTTTGCATGCGTTTGAACCAATTGTCGAAGCACTTTTGCCACTCTGATTGAGGTATTTCCAAAACATGCATTTTGAATGTAGCAAACGCTTCTTCAGGTGTCGAAAAACGTTGACCTCTCGGTTTGTTTTTTACGTGCGGGAATAAAAAGAAGTCATCAGGTGCCAAGTCAGGACTATACGGTGGATGACTCATCAAATCGATGTTTTGGGTGCTCTAAAATGCAGTTGTTTGAGCCGATGCGTGAGAGCTCGCATTGTCGTGGTGAAGAGTGATCCGTCTTCGGATCATTTGCTTGGAAGTGCTTCGTACGCGAACAACTTTTGTTGGATTTGGCTCCTCTTAAAACACCCATACAGTCGACCGCTGTTTACTTTCGGGCTCATACGATCCATCACCTGTCACGATGTCATACGCGTGTTTCGAAGCACCGCGATCGTATTTTTTGAGCATTTACTTCGACCAATATACACGAGTCTTTTTTTGAGCGATTGTGTGGTATCCAACGCGAACAAATATTTTTGACAGCCAAATGTTCATGCAATATTGAATGTATGCTGGTCCCACTAATGCCTAAAGTCATCTCAATCTCATGATAGGTCACATGACGATCTTGCAATATCAATGGTTTTTGGAACAACTGATTTTGGACGACATTCACGAAATTCATCTTGAAGCGAACTACGACCACGATTGAATTCACCATACCATCGATAAATACTGGTCCTTGATGAGCTTCATCGCCTAAAATTGAACCAAGTTCATCCATGCACTGTTACTGAGTTAATCCACGTTGAAAGTTGTACAAAATAATCGCACGAAAATGTTCACGATTTAATTCCATTTTTAGGCCGAGATGAATCCTTTACATTACTGTAAACAATACAAATAGCTCGTGTATGTGGAAACGTTCTGAGTACGTATAAGCAACCTATCGTAATTGACTGTGATATACAGTGTGACCCATTTTTAATGGAAACACCCCCCTAAAATTTGAAGTTGTGAACCGATTTTAATAATTTTTTTTTTTTGAAAGTTGCTGAAATA